CCGTGTGAATACGGCTGTGCTGCTGTACACTGGGATCCTTGGCAAGAGAAGTGGCGACGTTCCGTCGAGGGACTGGACGGGAGATATCAATATCAAGGAGATTGAACACGTATGAGGACCCGACACCTTCCATGCAGCCTATGGTGCAAATGCTAATCGCACAATAATAGACGAGTTTACGAATAGTTTCTTCCCTGGCCAGCGGCTCTTTGGTGATGCAGTACCGACCGAACTGTATTCCCCTTAGATATGCTGAGTCCATAGCACGCACATTTGAACGAATCCTGAATGACTACAACAAGCGCACATTCACATCCATTTATAAGCTGACCAGGTTGCAAAGTTTGGCACTCGATTCCACACGAGAATATCTTCTTCGCTGGGGTATCATGGACAGAAAGCGCACTGATAGTACCTACACCATCAACGCCCTAATCCGCGCCTCCGTCCAGGCGACCCCAGACGCCGAGGCCATCTGCGCATGGGACGGCCGCCTGTCGTACCAACAGCTAGATACGCTCTCAGACACCCTGGCCATGCGCCTGATTGGCGCCGGTGTGGTCAAAGGGACGCGTGTGGCATACGCCTTCACAAAGTCCTCCTGGGCTGTCATCGCCATTCTCGGGATATTGAAGGCTGGCGGCGTCTTTGCCGCGCTGGATCCGTTGCAGTCAAAGAAGAGGTTAAGAAATATGCTTCGAATCCTGGGGTGCACTACCCTGGTTACCTCTGCCCTGCATGCTTCTGAGGTTTCATGTCTTGTAGCCAACTCTCTTGTTCTTCCGCGCGACGCTTTATCTTCCGGCTTTACTTCCAGACCAAGGCAAGAAATTGCACTTGAATCCACCGATACGGCCTTCGTCCTCTTCACCTCCGGCTCAACAGGTTATCCGAAAGCTATCCTCCACGAGCATGGCGCTGTATGCAGCCACGCACTTGCCCTAGGGAATGCAATGGGGTACAAAGGCGCGCGAGTCCTTCAATTCTCAGCATACATATGGGACGTGGCAGTGATAGACATCCTCATCACCCTTATATTCGGAGGGTCCGTGTGTATTCCCTCTGAAGAAGACCGACTCCACGATATTTCAGCCTTTATCGAATGGAGCAAGGCCAACCTTGCCCTCCTTACGCCCTCGTACGCCCGCTCCATTGATCCAGACAGTGTGTCAAGCCTCAAAACTCTCGCGTTGGGAGGCGAGTGCATGACGAAGGAGGATGTTAACCGGTGGAAAGGCCGTCTTACCCTGATGAATGTCTATGGGCCAGCGGAGGTTGGGGCCTGTTCGTTGAACACCTCGGTGACAGTCGTGGCTACAGGGGAAGGAGAAGGAAACGTCGGAGCCAAAAACATCGGCCGCCCACTGCGAAATTCTCCCTGCTGGCTGATCGACCCCGACGACGTGAACGTTCTCGTCCCCGTTGGCTCCGTGGGCGAGCTCGTCGTTAGTGGAGTAAATCTCGCGCGGGAATACCTCAACCAGCCTGAGCTTACCGCTACGTCGTTTTTCAATGACCCGGCTTGGGCGGAAGCCCTTGATCTCAAAGGTCCCAGGCGATTCTACAGAACAGGAGATCTAGCTAGCTACGACATCAGCGCATTCGACGGGTCTCTAATATTCATGGGCCGCAGGGACGACCAGATGAAAGTGCGCGGACAGCGGATTGAGCCAGGAGAAATAGAGTATCATCTTTCTCATGTCCCTGATGTTAAGGGGGGGATTGTGACGATTCCTGCCTGTGGGCCTTGGGAAGGCGAGCTGGTGGCACTGGTCATGACTAACCAGCTGCAGAACCAAGGCCATCTACATTCAGACCCATTGCAAGTTTTGCCGGCTGAGACTCTCCCGCTATCGCGCATCCAGGATTATCTCTCTGAGTTCCTGCCCGGTTACATGATCCCTACTGTCTGCGTGGCCCTTGCACATTTCCCGCTCACAGCTTCCATGAAGATCAATCGGAAGGAAGTGAAAGCATGGCTGGAGAAGACGGAGAATAAACCAGTTAATGCTCTACAGAGCCAGAGACGCTCTAATGCAGCGGCCCTAGCGGGGACCGAGCATACTGCAGTGATAATCAGTTCCCTTCTATCCAAATACCTCCGCTCCCTTCATCCAGACCGCCCATTCTGGCTTGAAGCCCTCGATCACGACGTTTCACTTCATTCGGCCGGTCTAGACTCCATCCAGATGATCACGTTCTTCTCGACGCTGAGGAAGCGCTTCGGAAACGTGCTTTCTTTCCCGGCGGTCATGAAGACCAGACAGCTGACTGTTAGAAGCCTGGCGCGGGTTATTGACGGCTCAGGGGGGGTGGCACCCACTCGCTCACTTTTTTTTATCAATGCAGAGGCTGAGATTGAGGACATCTCTCAGCAGCTCCTCAGACGGCTTGATTCCTTGACTGTGGAGATAACTGACAGCAAGACAGCTAAAGGCGCAGCTCGAGCTATTCGAAACGTCTTCCTCACCGGTGCGTCCGGCTACCTTGGGAGACAAATCTTCCGACAGCTACTTTGCCAACCAGGCGTGCATATCTACATCCTCGCGCGCCGACCTCCGCCGTCAGGGAATATGCCAGGCCAAAAATCACCCCCACCAAGAGACCCCATCAGCAAAACCGCAATGCTAGAGGGTTGGTGGGACGAATCCTTCCGGCAACGCTACACCGTCTGGCCAGGAGATCTCGCTGAGAAGGAACTCGGCCTAAGCAAATACCACCTGGCGTTACTTGCGGGACAAGGTCCAGTGGAGAAAGTAGTGCACGGGATCATCCACTGCGGTGCGGTTGTGCATTACACGCTCGACTACGAGAGCCTCCAGGCGGCAAATGTGCACTCGACAATGAGCCTCCTGGAGATAATGGCGCAGCCGAGGTCTCCCAGTAGCTTTGTGTTTATATCAGGAGGCAGAAACCCTACCCCTACCCCAACCACAGCTCTGACCGCTACTCAGAATCAGATGAGCCTAGTAAGAGACGAAGTCGAGGTCGATAGAGTCCTCTGGAATGGCTACAGCCAGTCCAAGTATATCTCAGAGAGACTCACTCTGGAAGCTCATACATTTCCCGTACCATACTTCCAAGGCAAGCACCTCTGCACCGTCAACCCGGGGTACATCATCGGCTCGGCAGCAAACAACTGGTACGCCAACACGCGCGACTTCATCTGGAAACTCGTCGCTGGGTGTCTTGAGATAGGCCTCTATAACCGCGACGAGGCGGACGGGTGGCTATTTGTTTCAGATGTAGCCAGTGTATCCATGGTTGCGGTTACGGCGCTTCTCAACCCGAACCAGGACAGTGGTGGTGAGGGTACTTATACCCATGCCATAACAGAAGGCGTCCCATTCCAAACACTCTGGGACATATTGCAGCATGAATACGGATACCAGCTTAGCGGGGTTTCGGGGGAACAGTGGCTTCAGACATTGAAATCCGCTGTTCTTGATGCGGGAGAGACTCATCCGCTATTTACGTTGTTACCTATGCTAGAGACGAATGGGTTGGGCTTAGGGACTCGGCGTGACTTTTTATCGAGTGTATCGGATGAGGTGACTGAGTGTATAAGGAGAAATATTGCCTATCTTGTGCGGATTAGGTTTTTGCCTAGACAGCCGTCTTGAAGTGTTGGTTCTCTGCGGCTTTTTTCTTTTTTTTAATGGTGGCTTGACTAAGAGACCTGCGGGTACCTATGGCATACAGTTCAAATCAACTACCTAGCTGTCCATATTGTCATCCGGTCCTCATACTCCGTCCGACACACCCCCTCAGTGATCTCCGGAGGGGACTGCTAGCCTCGATAGATCAATCTACATACCAATCTAGTCCCAATAACTAGGCTATTAAATAGCCTATATCTACCATTCTGAGTATCCTTAAGAAGCTCTCATACTTCTGCCGGGAAAGTAATCTAGTAAGCCTATCGGCTACGTACTCGCCGTCGCCACCTATCTTACTATAATACGTCCTTCTATTACCGCCTATCGAAGCTTAGACGTAGCAGTGACCCGCGGGTGACCCTCACGACCCTCGAACTGCCCCGCTACTAGGGCGGTTCGAGGGTCTAACCTTCCGACCTAGGCTTCCGCAGAACCCAACCGGACCCAGACCCAACCCAAGCTCGGGTTGGGTCCGGGTCTAAAATCTTGACCTAACACTGGGTTCTAACTTCTGGGTTACTACTCTCAACCCGGACCTAGGCTGGGGCCCTAATTGGGTTACAAACAAGACAAATATACTAAGGAATCCTAATTACATAATTTATACAATCTCTTAACGTATTTCACTACCGAGCTGCGCAAACCACCGAGCTGCGCAGCCCAGAACAAATAGTCAAAGCGATAAATTAAGACATAATATTTCAGCAACCAATGCTTTTATTTGATTTCATTACTCGCTGATAGCAATTGATAAGCATTTCAAATATCTTATATCAGTTTTAAATAAATCGAGAGCTTGCATTGTTATGGTATCGAAAAATACATTGCTAAACTCTTGAAATATATATATCTCAGTCACTAGTTTGTTAAAGTCCCCTAAATTCTAATAAGTGGCTAGATATCACATAAAAAGCATTTGGCTACAAGGAAAAACTGATATAGACAACCGTTGTTGAAATATTATATTGTAGTTTATCGCTTCCACTATGTGTTCTAGGCTGCGCAGCTCGGGGGTGTGCGCAGCTCGGTAGTGAAATACGTTATTGTAATCTACGCTTTTCCCAAAATGGCAGAGGCCCCACCCGGTCCTATTCTGATTTAGCGGACTCCGATCTGGCTTAGCGGTTCCCGAAGTAGTTTGGCTCCTCCGGCTATCCCAAACCGGGAATCTGCCATATCCGACCGCCTACCAGCCAGACCCCTGACCCTAGGATTGTTAGAGAGTTCCTTGAAAAAGGATTGGCAACCCCTTTACTTGACCAGCTTTCAAAAAAACTATGGTTCTTTGCTCGTGCCCCTGTTACCCACCATTGGACAGCAAAGGCCGAACATGGACCTTGGTTATTGGCCCACTCTCTGTGAATGCCCTCCCTCTACCTCTGGGTCGGTGTTTCGTGAGTTCTGATTCATGGTCGGCATGTTTCCCAGGTCAACTGTATCGGTATTACAAACCTTTGGGGTCTCCGTGGGAACTGTGGGCTCTCCGGCATTTTCGACGAGGTCGGCACACATAAATCCAAGCAGAATGTCCATATTCTTGTTTGCGACTTTGTTAGTCGAAAAATCAAGAAGGTCCGTCTTCTTGATGACTAGAACTTGCGGGGTGCAATGGGCTTCGATTACTCGGGCCTTCATTTGCCCGAAGATCGTGATAGCCATAACCTATATTATAATTAATATATATTAGCTTTTATATAAGGGTATCTTAGATCTGTACTCACTGGAATAGTGTTATACTCTAAGCAACCCTCGCCTTCTAGTCGCGTTATCATAATTGCGGTAAGGATCATCACCTCTGCCCGGGTCAGCGTTTCGCAAGGCTCGTGTTCAATCAAGGTGTGGATTAGAGTGTGTGGGGGTCTTCCTTCAGGATATAACAACTCCTTCGGCACAAAGGCAGCGGCCGGCGAGCATCGCATCGATCCCCAAATAGATGGGTAGAATTTATCGGCGATAACCGATAGTGCTACTGCGTAATGCACATCAATACACCAATTTCGTGTCGCAATGCGGCTCAATATCTTACCTCTTCACCCATTTTGACACTTGCCTAAGGTTTGGGGGGGATTCACCATCTCCCTGGTCGAACTCTCGGCGGAACTGGAAGAACATCCGCTCCAGGCCCAAAAAGACAAACCAGACCTGGGAATGAAGGCTCCGAACTAAGGGGTCATTTTTGGCGTTCTCCCATCCATCAGTGATTTTCCTCAAGTCTGCCGTGACTTTAGGGTCGGTTTCACAAACATCGGGAACCCATGCAGCACCCTGTGGTTCAAAGAAAATCGGACTGGAGGGATCGGAAGCTGGGGTTTCAAGGTGTTTGCCATCCTCATCTAGCTCAAGAGGTCGACAATCGACCAAGAAATCCGTGGGAGGTAGGGTGTATATTCGCGGAAGGGTAAAGTTCGACGTTCCTGTAAATGTTTTCGACATTGGCGATGACTTGGCTACGGGCTTGGAGGTTGGCCGCAGCCCGTTCCCCGGCACCAAAACCCAACGTAGGGGAACTGGTAGGCATAACGATTAAATGGGAGCTGTAAAGCAAAATGAGAGTTGGTTGAAGAATCAAGAGATGGTACGGTGGTTGAGAATCTTTTGGGTCAACAATGATCAGGTGAAGTGTAATATACGCCGTCTCCATGTGGCTCGTTCCACTCCCCAGACATTGTTAACAGTGTGGCTGCCCAAGGCCTACATAAAATCAACATCTTCCAGTGGTAAAAAATAATGCTCTCCGGGTTGGAAATAATCCAGGATCTATTACAGCAAACTTTATCCTTCTCTGGAGAAGCCAGGAGCCAGAATAAAGCTAGAGTTGACTGACTGACTTACCGTCGCATCCCACCCGTGTACAAGAGGCTAGAGATTTTATTTCGTGAGGAAATGTGCCTGATGGTGACTGGTGGTGAATCTATCGGTTCTGTGCGGGATACACCACCAGCTTTGCAAGCGCCGAGACGTGCAACACCAGCCTGTTCTAAGCGTAATATCAAGGTCATACTGATATTATGATATTAGGTACCTTACACACCGAAATGCATAGTCTAAATAGATATAAGCGCATAGTAGGGATACACAATCAACAAGGTAAGCGCTTCCCAGGCTAGCCTCACCTAAGCCACCCTCACAGAAGTTCCGTATATCCTTATGTACGATCCTTATACACGAAATACTCATAAATCTGACAGCAATCCCCGGCCTAGAAGTTAATACCGTATCCTTTACCAATCTATCCTCGGAGTCATAGCACAAAAGATCATCTGCGCCGCGGTCAACGTAACTTTGTGAGACAGAGACGGTAGTGTTTTACTTACCGGTCTAGGCGCCGGTATATACGCCAGAGTGTGACAGCTCGTAGCCACGACAGCCGCTATAGGTTCCCGTGCGAGAGTGTAAGCCGAATACTAGGGTACGGAGGACGGGGAGACAAGAAGCGATGATAGCGATAGCGGTTTCGACCATAGAGACAGTGCAAGTGATTATTTATTCATTGCGGTAGGAGTATATTACTCGAATAACTGAATACATCGTGGTTGAGTTATAGGAAGTAGATGAGAGGAGAAGATAGAGGGGAGACATACTACTAGTGATAATCTACACATAACTACAATTAGAAGCATTACACTACTCCTGGAGTGCTTTCGGGATGTTCTGTTCGGAGAACATATTTTAGCTGGTAATGAAATTCAAATCATAGCAGAGTAAGAGAAGCGCCTTAGGGCTTAACAATTTGTATTTTTCTTAGGACTGATATAGGTTTGGAGTGAGTTGGCCCCTATCACCTCAAGGGTGAGAATTGTCACCCCGTTCTCACCTCTCTCACCCCAGTCTCAAGACTTCTCACCCATATCACCCGCACTCACCCTAGAGTGCCGCTTAGGTGCTGAGGGCACATTGAGTATTGGCCGTGCAGAATATGTGTGACTACGTGATTCGCTTTCGAGCCGAGGACAACTCGTATGGCTACACATCAGTACATGTGGAAAGAGCACGAAATTCCCACGGAGGGATGAAGAGAAAGTGGGACGAATATGAAGATTTCGAGAGCATCTAGTTCCTTGAGATTCCGCTCGGAGAGAATTGGATTTTCTTTCCTTTAATGGAAACATCTAGCTCCCATACCTCGAAATATTTCGATCCTGATATGCAAGATGACCACTCAAAGACGCATGACGTTTTCGACGAATTTTTCGAAGACGGCCCCCTTACTAGCCAGCCAGTTATATTCGATTTTGCTTTTGGTGACCATAGCCCTGCGGCCGTTTATAAGAGGAAGAATAGTCAGTCTTCATCGCAAAAAAAACAGGCGTCTCGGGTGCACTTTCCCTTGAAATAGTCCAAGACCTCTTGGAACAAGGATCATTTCACCGTGATCCATCCCTTCTGGCGCTCAGACGAGTTGTGGACTACTACAGGTGCCACCTATCCAACGCCACTGTGTCTATGGGTGTGATTAAAAGCCCCGTTTACTCTTGGAGCTGGGCGCAGTCCATAGCCAAGGGGCTTGATTCTCTAAGTCCACTTGCAAAGCAGCTAGCGCGCGAAGGAAACAAACCCACCACAATTTATCCAAGCCTGTTGTCCCGTGAGTACACATTCGCAGCAATTCTACAGTTTGAATCAGGGGATATTAGCGTCGACATTGCTAAGCTAGCGGATGTGCTGGCAATATCTAGTGGCAACTCTCTATTCATTGCTAAACAGCTACTCCACGACCCGATGTCACCAAGGTATCTCTCTTCGGGTGCCGTCTCACATACTATTGGCAATTTTGGGAAGCTGGGAGTTACGCTATTGGTTTCTCCTCCGGAGTTAGAGATCCGTGAACATGACCTTGAAAGGTGGCAATTCGTCAACCACAACCTGTTCGATGGAAATTCAGCGGGCGGGATGTTCGATAGCACCTCTATTCACTTGTCCTTCACGGGCTGGAAAGGACCTGGCAGCCTTGAATCGACCAATTCGCGGGGCATGGATGCCTATTACATTGAAACAGCTGTCTCTGTCAACGATAGGGACGAATGGGTGGGCGATTTAGATATACTAAAGGGATTGAGGGATTTAGAAATTGGGATCCCTGGTCTTACCGACAAGTGGCTACATGATCCCTCCTTTTCTGTTGGCGTGAAATTAATTTCCATCGACTGTTGGGAGGAGATTCTAGATCCTCCGAGTGAGTTACTCGTGCTACGTTCGGCATCGGCAGCAACACACGATCGGCGGGGGAATTGGTAGTGGATGGTGATACTAGCCGCGATAAGCATTGCACGTTCGAAAAAAAAAATATCGATGTATTTGCTTGCCAGTGGATAGGAGCTTTTGTTGGACTTGTGTGGTTGACAAAATTGATGCGAGAGGAATGTCCTGTTTGTTTATTAGATTAAAGCAGCTTATGGCTATGTAAATAACCTGACATCTTATACATTTTCACATAGGGTTTCTGCGTATAACAATGCGCTTGCATCTAAATTCCTTGACGGGGATAGATAGTACTAACCAGATTCTATAGTAGAGATTACTTCCCCGAAATCCAGCTCATCTAATTCAATCCCGCTACGCATCTTGCTCGTGATAAGGAGGTGAAAGAGGGAAGAAGAAGGGTTATAGATTTTTTTGGCCTGGAAGATAACAAAAAAACATACTGGAATGTACAAGTGTGAGATATATCAGATATGGGTGAAGGGAAATTTGTCTACAGGTCTGGAGACCATATATAATATCAATTGAACTATGTCTAATCTATATATATATATATATATATATACTATATTCTATATATGTTGTATTTCTATATCTACGTTCTGGAATATCAGTGGAGTATAACCCAAATCACGCCATCTGCACCCCGCCATTTCCCCCCCTTCCTCTCGTATTTCCTCTATTTATTCCCTTGTCTTTCCCTTTAATGCTTCATTTACTATAACTCTTAAGCTTCCATAATGTCTGAGCAGAATCTCCATTTCGATACTCTGCAGCTTCACGCTGGGTAAGTATTCAATTTCCCCAAATGAAAAACATAAATCTAATAGATCAAGCCATGAGCCCGATTCAACCACGAATTCACGAGCAGTCCCAATTTATGCGACCAGCTCTTACGTTTTCAATGATTCCGCCCACGGTGCGAGGCTCTTTGGCCTCAAGGAGTTCGGTAACATCTACAGCCGAATCATGAACCCAACAGTTGATGTCTTTGAGAAGCGCATTGCTGCTCTAGAAGGTGGTGTTGCCGCCGTTGCCGCCTCCTCTGGCCAGGCAGCTCAATTCATGGCTATCTCGGCTCTCGCCCATGCTGGTGACAACATCATTGCCACGAGCAACCTGTACGGCGGCACCTACAACCAGTTCAAGGTTATGCTTCCGCGTCTGGGAATCAATACCAAGTTTGTCCAGGGTGATAAGCCTGAGGATATTGCCGCTGCCATTGATGACCGCACCAAGGCTATCTACATTGAGTCTATTAGTAACCCCCGCTACAATGTACCTGACTTTGAGGCCATTGCGAAGGTTGCACACGAAAAGGGGGTTCCCGTTGTGGTATGTCTGTTTAGAATGTGTGCAACCTTGGAAGAATGCAAAGCTTACCAATCTTCTAGGTCGACAACACCTTTGGTGCAGGAGGCTACTTCGTTCGCCCAATTGACCACGGTGCCGATATTGTCGTGCACAGTGCTACAAAGTGGATCGGTGGCCATGGTACCACCATTGCTGGAGTCGTGGTTGACAGTGGAAAGTTTGACTGGGGGAAGAACGCGGCCCGATTCCCCCAATTCGTCGATCCATCCGAGGGTTACCATGGGTTGAAGTTCTGGGAGACCTTTGGCCCGCTTGCCTATGCTATTCGAGTGCGCGTTGAGATCCTGCGCGACCTTGGTTCTGCCCTGAACCCCTTCGGTGCCCAGCAGTTGATCCTCGGCCTGGAGACTCTGAGCCTGCGTTGCGAGCGACACGCAACTAACGCCATTGCCCTGGCCAAATGGTTGCAGAAGAATGAGAATGTGAGCTGGGTGTCATACCCCGGTCTAGAGGATCATCCTAGTCATGAGATTGCAAAGAAGTACCTGACCAGAGGCTTCGGTGGTGTGCTGTCTGTGGGCATCAAGGGCGGCGCTACCGCTGGTGCTCAGGTCGTTGACAACTTCAAGTTGATTTCGAACCTTGCCAAGTATGACTCATTCCTATTCTCTCTTAAGAGCCTTTACCTCTTACTAACATCACTGTAGTGTCGGGGATTCTAAGACTCTGGCCATCCACCCTTGGTCCACCACCCATGAACAGCTCACAGAGCAGGAGCGTCATGACTCTGGTGTGACTGAGGATGGAATCCGTATTTCGGTTGGCACAGAGTACATTGGCGATATCATTGCTGACTTTGAGCAGTCATTCCAGGCATCAAAGGCTGTGCCGGATCGTACTGCTTGAAATTTCTAACACATGTCGATGCCGTGCATGATGGAATACAGAAAGGAGACTACGTAGTATTAAAAATTAGTGATGACCTACGATATCAATGAACACTTAAGGTTACAAGCTTCATACTACATGTAAGATAGGGCACACGCCTGGGCCGAAAAAAAAAACTTACAACCACAAGGGAACCATAAGGTAATGTCAATGGATATGAATTTCTCATAAAAACTTCGGTTCATAATGTGCCCTTGTTCAACCGTCGGCGAGACTGCACAACTTGAAAAATTAAGGTAAGAGAAGTACAGAAAGAACGAAAACCTCCCCGCCAAACGATATGCCTCAAGATAAAAAAAAAATGTTCAATCCCCCGCCCCAACGCCTTTGCCATGCGCGGTGCGCGCATCCTATTTGGACCATATGCACGCAACAATGAGGAATGAAGAAAAAATCAGTTGCCCTGACCACCAGAAGGAGGCTGACCACCGGGCATACCGGGCTGGCCACCCATCATGAATCCGGGAGGCAGCATGGGCATGCTGGCAAAGTTGAAACCATAGGAAGGAACTGCAGGTGCAGCTCCCTGGTTCATGTTAGGCATGTCAACTTCATTCATCTGGGGACCACCGTATCCATCACGCTCGGGACGGCGACCACCAAAACGAGTATCCTGGGGGTTGGGGTTGGTGCGAGTGGAAATTGGGCCCCGTTTACCGCCAGTGTCAGTGGCGATGCGACGGCTGATAGCCTTGGAGGAGACACCTGCGCCGATTTCGATATCGGGCTCCTCCACAATCATACCAGATTCAATAGGACGTCCACCAGTTCCGCCATATTCCGCGGAAATCATCCACTTACGATCAGCCTCGGTCAGTCGCTCAATCGGAATTATGCTAACTCCAGTCTGGTAGTCGCTACAGTCACGCGGGCCAAAACCAACACCCCAACGAGTCTAAATTGATAAAGTCAGTGATAAGGTCTCACGAAGGGTCAACAAGAAAAAGAAGATGACTTACCCGGAGTTGCATCTCGCCGGTACGGTAAGACTCCATTCCATCACGTGCCTGCATCGCATCGGTGCGGCTAACCATTTTAATAAAAGCGTGGCGCTTGTCCACATTGACGATGCAAGTCTGAACAATTCCGAACTGACCAAACAACTGACGCAGGTGAGCCTCCGAGGATGTGACACCACCAACGAAAAGAGTTCGGCTCAATACTTTGATCATGCCCTGGCCAATAGAATAGTCCCATTCAATGAACTTGGGTCCAGGGGGAGGGAGGTTAGGATCCTTGTTACGAGCAGGCGAAGGCGAGCGACGTCTACCACCAGCACGTCCACCAGGGGGGCTACGCTGACGGTACTCATTACCACGACGGCCACGCACATCACGCGGGTCTCCACGACGACCAGGGGATTCACCATATTCTCCATAAACAGGGCTGTCACGACGGCGAGGAGGCGAAGCAGTACGGCGTCTATCCCAGCCTGGAGAGCGAGAGCGACGACGATATCCAGTGGGCGGCGAGCGAGGATATTCACGGCCCCGATCATCCTTATTCTGAGCGTCCGAGTGACCCCATCCACCCACGTTCTGTCCTTGTATCGGGTTGAATCCAGCCATCGGGCCTCCAGGCATCGCAGGCATACCGGGCATCGCAGGCATGCCAGGCATACCAGGCATACCGCCCATACCACCGTTGTTGGTCATGCTGAAAAGCTGCAGAGCAGTCCCCCACTGGTCCTGAGGGATACCTTGAGCAGCGAGCATCTGAAGAAGCTGAAGCTGCTGTGCCATGGCGTTCGAATCGGGTGCGGCAGGCTGCGCAGCCTGAGGAAGCATCGCGGTCAACGGGTTTGCGGCGGCCATCGAGATTGGAGTTCCACTCTGACTCTGCGGCTGGAGAGCAGGGTTCTGAGCCATGCCTGCCATACCTGCGAAAGGAGGCGCGACAGGTCCACCGGCGCCGAGTGCATTCATGGCAGCGGCCATATGCGAATTCTGGTCATTGGCAGGGGTCACGGAGGCCGAGTTGAAAGCGCCGAGAGGGTTGGCCGGGGCAAGAGCTGAAGGAGCAGCAGGTGCGGTAGTGTTCTGCTTGGCCATGTCGGCCAAAGCTTTCAGGATGCTTGAGGTATCAGGTGCCGACTGTTGTGGGATTCCGATCGGGTTGGCATTCGGTGCAGGAGACCCTTCGGGGGTGTTCGATTCGACATCTAATGATATGTGAGCGTGGGCGAAATACAGTATCATCTTTGAGGACTTACTTTGGGCAGCATTGAACTTCTCTTTGAACGAATTGAGCATCGGGGCTGGGAAAGTCGCACCACGTTCCCAGATGTCGACCAACTTCTTGATCTTGTCCTAGATTGTGACAGGGTATATGTGAGTTACGCGTTCGAAACAGTCTGGTCAAGGCGGAATGATCTTCGGATTGAAGTACATTGGGGCAAGGATACAATGTGCAAAGCACAAGCCACAAAACAGGGCTTGGCCATTGCCAAGGCTGTAGTGATGGGGTATGAGGTTTATCATAATACAAGTATGTCCTATAGCGTACCTTTTGGTCATTGGGGGCGTTATTGATGATGTCTGTCATCAGGATAGGTAAAAGATCAGTGACACGTTTGACACCGGCGGCGAAAGTTCCATCAGGAGCATCGCCTCCAGGAACCTGGCCGGCCTTGCGTGCGGCCTCTACCCATTGTCGAGTTACTGAGTCTACCACATAGAGCACGCCCAGCTTGTGGGAGCCCGGGGCTTTTTTGAAGTGAGTGTAAATTTTCTGGATCAGAACTGATTCATTCTGTGTGCAGGGTTAGCATTTCATCGATCACGTCGGGACCAATGAGATGGTTCAATCGACCAAAGGGGACAAGCGTACCTGCACGTTGGCATTGCACAAGTTTGTGATGCCACCAATCTTTGAGCCGGATACGCCAGGTGGCTTGAGTGCCAGCATGGATTGGAGAAGATTCTCCAGTTCAGCTACTGCGGAAGACATGCCGGAAAGATACTACCGTCGAATCCACTTGGAAGGGGAGTCGCAAAAGGAAGAATGGAAAAAGTTCCCAGTGAAGACTTTATGCAGATGGGAGGAAGCAATGTAGAGGTCCCGGCTACTGCGCTCTTGCGACGCGACGGACAATATCTCGGTATGCAAAGAAGATATGTTTAATCGAGTTCCCGGCGATTCTTCACTACAGACTCCACGAGCGCATTCACTGTCGACCAGAGAATAGCCGCCTACAGCTGGAATACAGCCTAGCGATATTGAGGAAGGCTGCCTGGCGCCGAGTACGAGAGTACGGGGAGTACGGGAGATGTACAGCCTAGAGCGTCTTTTGCAGTGAGATCCCAGAGAAAAACCAGATCAGGGTTTACGGAGTCCAAGAGGATCCAGTGAAGTCCAGCGCAGTCAGCAAATAAGCTGAGCTCAAGAAACTGATGAAATCGAAGGGAAGAAGGATGCTGAGTTTGAGGGAAGGTGAGGGTGAACGGAAGGATCATCAAAGGGGACAGCAGACTCTGCGACTTGGCGCTAATCCTATCATGGGTTAATCACGTGCTGATTGTGGCCTTGCGTCTTTGGTTGTTGTCCGCAACCGGATAATTTCGATTTTTATATCTCAAGTCAAAGAAAAGGTGTACATAAATAAGGTGCGCAAAAGAGAGGCCGAGGTGAGTGTTGTCAAATGATAATTATTCGGCCTCGGTTTAATATTGTGTTCAAATTTCAAATATTGACCTTGAATGAAGTCTTACATTTGTTTTTTACAGTTTTTTCTCTGCTATCATCTTCAGTTATATCAAGGAATGATGAAGTCTCCATTAAAATGAATAAAAATGTTGCTAAAAGATATTGAAAATCAAGGACTTTTTGATTTTAATATACAAAGTGAATTTTATGTACGGAATATCGAATAACTAACATCCTACCTAGGTTTAATATTACTACACTTGACCGCTGAGCCGAGGGACCCGTGGGCATCTCATCCCTTTTCACCAATACATTTCTGCCATGTGCTACCGCCATATAGCTCCCGGCCTCGGTGAACCGTTTCAGAAATGTTATTTGTACAGCTTATAGTTAGTTATACATCTTGTACAACGAATAACCCTAGGATTTGGGATATATACATATGTAGCTATCTGGACAAGGCTAGGGATTAAATGCACTATTACAATATATGTATCTACATATACTAAACCCATCTGATAAGCTCCGAGGGTTTCCATGTCGGACGGATGGCGGCACGGGAAGAAATGGCGACTTCCCGACGTCACTGCCTACCATTGATACCTGTATTTGCAGTACGAAATTTGGAAATGGAAGGGATACATAGTATCCACGGGAACATTCGATTACGTATGTAGAAATTATTAACTAGTCCAAGGGTAACTACATATGTATAATACATATATGCATATTGTGATTATAACAATCTTATATAGAATAATGAATTATAGATATGTATTGTTAGTATAGTATAATACATAGAAAATATGTAACACATTAAAATCCCGTATTTCGCAACGTAGCATCACGATCTGCCGGCAGCCCGAGCCTGTCTTCCGTTGGGGAAAAACCATTGGAAAATTACACAGAGCTATGGCTGACTGAGCTTCCACGGGGTCCCGAAAGCCCCAGTTACCGTACCAACGGTACCGGCTGTAATACGGCCAAATGGGAAAAAACCGAGAAAATTCCAGGCGCAAAAGAGCTTCTCCCCGAATTCTTTCCTTTCTTTCTTCTTCTCCCCCAGGCTTTGTGACCACTTCTCCATTTCCTCCATATTTCCCCCATACCATATATCCTGTCTGATTCGACATGGCTTCTTCCCTCAGAATCGGTTCTACCGCTCTCCGGTCTTCCATTGCGAAGCCGGTGCAGTCCGCTGCCTTCAATGGCGTGCGCTGCTACTCTTCCGCTAAGGTTAAGGTATGATGCTTACTCGAATTTGACCTAAGTTTCAATGGAATGCTAACCTAGGTTTAATTGTCTAGTCCCTC